CTCTCTCTCTCTCTCTCTCTCTCTCTCTCTCTCTCTCTCTCTCTCTCCCTGTCCCCCTCCCCCCACACACCTGACTGCAATGTCCTGAGCTGCTTTCTTTCTCCATACTTTCCTCCATGATGTTCTGCCTCACCTTAGGTACAGAGATATGGAGTCAGCTGACCGTGGACTGAATCTCTGAAACTATATCTAAATAAACTTTTCCTCCTTAAAAGTTGTTATTGTCGGTACTGTCTTTCGTGGCTTGGTCTTTTCCTGCAGTCACTACCCGGTCACATTTGGTGCCCAGCAGAGGAAACAGTGACAGACCTGGAGGCTGCAGTTCTCTGTCCTTCACACAGCTCTTTCACTATGCCTGGGTCACTTCCTTTGAATGCAGAAGCTTGTTGGCCAAAAGATGTGGGAATTGTTGCCCTTGAGATCTATTTTCCTTCTCAATATGTTGATCAAGCAGAATTGGAAAAATATGATGGTGTAGATGCTGGAAAGTATACCATTGGCTTGGGCCAGGCCAGGATGGGCTTCTGCACAGATCGAGAAGATATCAACTCTCTTTGCCTAACTGTGGTTTAGAATCTAATGGAGAGAAATAACCTTTCTTATGATTGCATTGGACGGTTAGAAGTTGGAACAGAGACAATCATTGACAAATCAAAGTCAGTGAAGACTAATTTGATGCAGCTATTTGAGGAGTCTGGGAATACAGATATAGAAGGAATAGATACAACTAATATGTGCTATGGAGGCACAGCTGCTGTCTTCAATGCTGTTAACTGGATTGAGTCCAGCTCTTGGGATGGACGGTATGCCCTGGTAGTTGCAGGAGATATTACAATATATGCCACAGGAAATGCCAGACCTACAGGTGGAGTTGGAGCTGTAGCTTTGCTGATTGGGCCCAATGCTCCTTTAGTTTTTGAACGAGGGCTTCGTGGAACACATATGCAACATGCCTATGATTTTTACAAGCCCGATATGGTCTCTGAATATCCTATAGTCGATGGAAAACTCTCCATACAATGCTACATCCGTGCCCAGTGGCAGAAAGAGAGAAATGATAAAGATTTTACCTTAAATGATTTTGGCTTCATGATCTTTCACTCACCATATTGTAAACTGGTTCAGAAATCTCTAGCTCGGATGATGCTGAATGACTTCCTTAATGACCAGAACAGAGATAAAAATACTATCTACAGTGGCCTGGAAGCTTTCGGGGATGTTAAATTAGAAGATACTTACTTTGACAAAAAGGCATTTATGAAGGCTAGTTCTGAACTCTTTAATCAGAAAACAAAGGCATCTTTGCTTGTATCAAATCAAAATGGAAATATGTATACATCCTCAGTATATGGTTCCCTTGCTTCTGTTCTAGCCCAGTACTCTCCTCAGCAATTGGCAGGGAAGAGGATAGGAGTGTTTTCTTATGGTTCTGGTTTGGCTGCCACCCTGAACTCTCTTAAAGTTACACAAGATGCCACACCAGGGTCTGCTCTTGATAAAATAACAGCAAGTTTATGTGATCTTAAATCAAGGCTTGACTCAAGAACTTGTGTAGCACCAGATGTCTTTGCTGAAAGCAAGAAGCTCAGAGAGGACACTCATCACTTGGCCAATTATATACCCCAGTGTTCAATAGATTCACTCTTTGAAGGAACATGGTACCTAGTTAGAGTGGATGAAAAGCATAGAAGAACGTACGCTCGTCGCCCCTCTCCAAATGATGACACTTTGGGTGAAGGAGTAGGACTTGTGCATTCAAATACAGCAACTGAGCATATTCCAAGCCCTGCTAAGAAAGTGCCAAGGCTCCCTGCATCAGCAGCAGAACCCGAAGTAGCTGTCATTAGTAATGGGGAACATGAAGATACTCTGTGAACTGTGAGACTTCACAGTGTGTTTGGGTTGGGGTGGGGATAGGGGAATGGTTGGAAAAGGGGACGTCTGGGGACAATTTTAAAGAATTTACACATTGCTTAAATTTTTATGTGACTGACACAGAGCCTAAAAAACTGTTGTGCTCTTGGAAAAGTCTATCTGCCCAATTTGCTAACACGCTTCCTGTTGTGGTCTAGCCAATGCTAAATGTACTCGAATGATGTTAAGGGCTCTGTAAACTTTATACCTCTCTGGCCATTTATATGCATGAAATTTAGTTTTTAAATGTAGTATGAATCCTGTGCTTGTGTCAGAAGAAAGCAGAGGTACTAGTCTCCAATTTAGTTTTTTTAATGTGTAAGAATTTTATACTTTGAACAACAAGATTATTGAAAGTACCTGTGGTTTTTGAAAATTTTTTCTAGCTTGGGGAATAATGTGGTCTTAAAATGTGATATGCACAAATACTCTTTGAAAATGGCAAGACAAACATTCTTTTTCTCAGATTTATAAATCCTAGAGAGGCAAAAAAGTGTTAGGACAGTAACACTGGTTCTGGAATATTATCCAGACCAACAGTGACAAAGTTATTGTGATGATCAGAGAGACACTAGCATTGAGCAGGCTTCTGGCATAAAAAGCATGGTCCATTTGGGAGCTGTCACGATAGCTGCAGGAGCTGAGTGCTCCTGATCAGTTCACGGTGGACTGTGCTCAGCAACATCGAGATGTTATTGGAGGTGTGTATGAGGAAGCTTTTTGTTGCAATCCTTCTTTGCACCTTATTTTAAAGGATACATAAAACATTTCTTTGATGCCTTTTCAAAATTTTAAACAGGAAAGGAAGAATGGAGCAGGGCATTATTAGGCTACTTATGCTTCAGTGTTACAAATTCAATTTCTAGACTGACAAATTTGTGGTATGAGTTCTTTTTGTTTTGTGTGTATGTGTGTTTGTGTGGGTCTTTTGTTTTTGTATCTGTTCAATGAAAACAAGAAGGTACAACCTAAGTTTTCACATAGTCTGACTAACCAAAAAGAGTATTCCACTTCAAGGTCTGGAAGTAGGGTTTATAAAGCTTTTCCTTGGACATTCCCCTTTAAAAAAACAACGAAAAACTATCCCATGGAATGAAAGAGATTGGTTAGAAAGTTTTATAGATGTTTTTGGTGCTGAACTATGATATGAGCCTTATAGATTGTAAAATAGAGATAGTTGGAACTAATGTACAGAACTAATTTTTAAAACTTTATTTACCATTAAATTCTGTGAAGTTTCAGTTATCAAAAATAAACAAATACAAAATGTAATGTTTCAGATTGCAAGCTAATATGTAATGTAGTGTTTATAAGATACTCGTGTCTAATATTAACTAGTGGTGTTTTGATTTGTACAGTCATAATTTGTTAAAATGACTTCATTTTAACATCCACTGATGTAGATTAATGATGTAAGCTCAGATTTAAAAGAATGGTGGGAAAATGGTGCATGTAATACTTTTCCAAGTATTGGGAGTTCAGTATGTCAAAAAGAGTAATTTAATGTTTGATTGCCAAGAAATGGGTTTTCTCAAAGTCCATTGCCGGCAATGGGCAAGCCTGGTAATACTGGCACAGAGCATTAACCATAAACCTTATTGATGGTAAGGTGAATAACTTTGAAATAAAGTTTTAGAGAAACATTTCAAAAAAAAAAAGTTGTTATTGTCAAGTCTTTGGTCACAGTGATAAAAATTGACTAAAACACAGATGACCAACCTCTTTATACCCTACCCTCCAGGTTTTCCAATATATTGCCTCTTGATCATTAATTCTCCCCAAACTAATTTAAATCTCAGGCTTTAGTAGGCTACTGATAGTTACAGTAGACAGCGACATTTCTAACTTTTACTGATCTCTGGAGAGCTGTCATTAATTTAGACTCTTTCTAGACTGAATATCCTTGGTAAAAGGAAGCAAATCCTGTTGGAAACATATCTGAATAGATGCTTGAAGTTTTCTGAGCATTCAAGACACTTTGGAAAGCATATGTATTCAACGTAGCTAAGAAAACTGCTTTGCTCAGCTCTTGAAACCAGCAAGACTCAGGGAGCTAGGGATGAAGCTATTTGCAGTTAAGCAAACTCATTTTACATAGGCCACTCTTAATGGCCAAAATAACAGGTGCACAAATGGTCATTCCAATTACTTTGTTCATTTAATGCTTCTGGTTATCATTTTAAATCTAATTGTTATCTGACTATTAAGGCAATTGGAAAAAACACACACATATCCAATTCTTATGAGTCTACCAGTGATTTGCCACAAGGAAATGCCTTACTTGGTCATCCAATGCTAATCACCTTTAAAAGCCACTGCTATTTTTTTTTTCTTTCAAAGCCAGAGACTCCATACTTAGGAGAATATGGTAAAACTGAAAACACTGAACAGTGAGTGAGAAATCCTCAAGCCCAACCCATACTCTTCCCCTACCTACCTTTCTGAGTCTTATTCCCCACGTTGTAAAATGGGAATGAATATCCTTGCTTGTGAGCCTCTTTATCAATTTATACATGGGAACCTAATATTATAGTGGCCTTAGTAATCTGTTAGTTTTAGAAATATTGTTTTGTGAAAAACATTAGTATTAATAATGATGATGTTGGTGGTGATCATGAAGGCGGTGATGGAGGACTAGCAGAAAATTGAAGGTAATCAACTGGTACTTATACAGTTTCCAGATGGTATACAGAGGAACAGGGTAGGAGTGGAAAGGCTGGAAGCAAGGGTTGTGTTTGTACTCAACCATGGCTTCACATTGGAATCACCTTGAGGTTGAGAACCATAGATCTCAGTCAATTAAATAATAAGGAGGTGAATTGCAAAACAAATAGTTGATGGAGATTGGAGCCTCCATCAGCTTGCTTTGGAATAGATGACTCAACTCAAAATAAATAACCGTGTTGCACATTCTTCCCCATTTCACATGATGTGTTTAATGGTGTGTAGTGGGAATGTCCCAACCCACTTCCCTATCAAGATTGCATTACTGAGTATTCATGTAGAATACTATTTTGTGCCAGTCCCTACGTTAAGGGCTTTTCAAATGTTGTTCCACTCCATTCTTGTGTTTTTAGAAACTGAGCTCATGAGGGTAATATGATGATAATGATGATGATGATGATGATGGAATAAGGGTTGATGATGACAACCCTTATTCCCTTGAGAATATGTCTTCATGTAACAAAGGGATGAGATGGTGGTGCAGAGACAATAATTACCAAGTATTTTACATGTTCCCTCTGGTTTCCCAGACCCTTGCACTGAAGTCAGAGCCATGTGGTCAGTTCTCGCCAATGGAGGGTGATCACTGTAATTTTATATCCAGCAAAATAAGCAGCCATCTGTCCCTTACATTCCCCACTGGCTGCCATGGTGCACTTGGTGGCCAAGTGTCATAGATGATAGAGTTACAGGGTGGCAGAGGACCATCTATCCTGTGTTAGACCTGACTCAAACAAGAAAAAAAAATGATGTTATGTCCCAGTAGTTCAAGGGACTTTTTCCAATATTGGTCAATGCACTCAACTAATGGGTAAAGAACAATTTCAAACACTGTTGTATGGTTTCTCTGCCACAAAGTAGAGCTATAGCTGCATAAGTGCCCAAATATACACTGGCATTAAAATAGCCTCTTTTCTTCTCACTCTCTGCAAATTCTTTGCATTCTCAGGGATTCAAAGTGGTTCTGGTCACCTGTCTCCTTTTCAAGCCCTGAACTCTCACTTAAGCCAGTGATAGTACCTCAGCCTTGACAGTGATGAGGTCGCCTTTTAAGGCCTTCAGAGGCAATTAGCCTGAAGTAAGCGTGGCCAGCATTTGCCTAACACAGTGTGTTTGTTGAAGACCAGGTATTCTGTAATTCAATCTTAAGCCTTGAGATATTATTTCTCAATACTGAGGACTGTATTATAACTCTTCCCCCTCCCCAGTACATTTTCAGTATATTTTTTAAGAATATAAAATATAAATTTGAGTAATGAAAACAGTGTACAGGGGTTTGATATCCCCAGAGGGTTCTGACTGGAGAAAAGGGTTCTCTAAGTAGGATTAGAGATAGAGAAGGAAAATACTGGAGAATGATATTGGCTGGAGTATATTGTTATATTGCATGCATATATAAATATGTAACAACAAATACCACTGTTATGTACAAGTATAGTGCACCAATAAAAAATATGGGAAAAAAAGAGAAAAAGATGGAGAGGGAGTCAGTCCGAAATTTCAAAAGCAAAACCTTCAAAAATAATAATGGTCTAAGTGCATGTATTGATTGGACACTAATTTATAATTTTCAATCACCTGCATTTGTATCACAACACAAGGCTAAAAATACAGTGAGGACAGACCCTGGACTTCCCCCGAAGCTTCCCCCTGTACTGCCTGTGTCAGGCATAAGCAGTCTCAGCAGAGGAGAGGTGGAGAGTCTGCAGCTCTGGGGCTGCAGGCAGCAGACAACACCATCTGTTGGTTCTTTCTTGACCCAGGAAGCAAGGTCTGTGAATTGACCAGAACAAAATGGAAACTGGAGTGTGCTTACATCATCTCAGGTCTGCTTCCCACTCCTCAGTCACATCCTACTCTTCTCAGCCCCTACCAGGAATATAGAGTGCCCATGGATTCCACGTTGGGAAAAAACAGACAATAGACTGTCATGGGTCACTGAAGTGTCTTAAAAGTACCTCAATAAGCAATGGTACATGTCAAAAGTAAAGCTCAGAGTTCTCAGTGTTAGAATACAATCTCATTTAGCTATTTTCTTAAAACCAGGTAGTAGGTACAATTTTTTAAAATTCTAAAATTAAGTCACCTTTCGAGAGTCCCCTCATCTAAAATACAGGATCCGAATCCAGAACTCATACTCTCTATGCCTCAGCCTAAGTTTGAGATTTATTCTGGCTAAAATGTGAAATATTGCCAGATATGAATGTCATACACACTTAGAGACCCTCATCCGCTAA